TGTATATAGTTGCAAAACCACCTTCACCTATCTTTTCAATATTTGTTAAATCATTATAAGGAATCCATTGAAGATAACAATCATTCCAATACCCAGTTGTTTTAAGTTGTGTACTTTTAATCAACTCATCTAATGTTTCATTGTCACTAGTCCATCCTTCAGTTAGTAGCTTTGGATCACACGATTGACACCATGCCCAATTAGTATTATATCTATTGCAGGTTGGACATTCCCCATATTTTTTATCTCTTTTCTTTGAATATTCATCACTATGTTCAATTTCATTTAAAATGTTTTTCATCTCTAAATTCATTTTTTAGATGTTTTGTTTGTGGCTAAAAACTTTATAACACAAAAATAAATATAATATAATCGACCAACAAAATTCTATTTCAAGTCATCATGCGTAGTTCGATATAAATATAGTTTCTCAACCTTTTAATGTATTAAAGATTGTGATCAAAACATCAACAACACCTACCTAACAATTTGGGATCAATGGATATGATACTTCTACTGAATATTCTCTTCTTGAAAGTAGGTAAGAGTTTGCTGAATTACATGAAGCTCTTAAGCATATGTTGAGCAACAATAATTCGGATCGAGTCCTTAATTTTTTATTTGGAACACGCTATTTCTCTCAAATTTATTGTACATATAACCGTAACTATAAATTACATGTTAAAACATAAGCAGGAGTTTAAAAAAAAATATATATACCAATTAGAAATTGTCGGGCTTCTAAAAACAATCGTTTGAAAAAAAGCACTTCAGCCTTGACATATTCGAAAATCATGATTTGTGTATTAAGTAAAGGTTGCTCCACGGATCACAAATAACTTGTCTGCACGTGCTTCAAACTCTGATAAAAGATTTTGGGTAAAACTCGTGTTGTTCAAGTGTTTAATGACAGTAGAAATCTAATTAGATGGACTCAGTTTCGATTCGATTTATTCGGAGCCTAATTATCAATATCATGCAGTGTTCTAAATTGATGGAAATAGCATTAGTAGCTTCAATTATTCTAAAGATATTCAAATTATTGGTATATAACAGTTTCACGCAAAAATAACATATGAAGGTTCTTTTTTTCAGTCGATCTAAAGCAGGCAGTATCAAATCATTCAACGTTAATTATTTCTATATAGTAGTAGTTAGTGGAGAAAGTGAGTTGGACTCTTTAATCTCAACATTACAAAAATTTAAAGGGTTTTTATCTCTTTAAACTGTTATCTTTTTATTTATCAATGATGGAAGAATGAATGTTCTTAAAACTAATGGTTCTCCAACTGACAAGGGCTAATTGATCGAATTAACTATCCTAACCATGTTCACATTCGGCTGAGGAACTTGATCAAGATTTATTGAGCTTTCAGATTCCCCATTTCCTCTTATACCAGATAGAAATTGAGATTTATTACGTACTGCCCAATGTCTTGAGTGACTGATGGTCTTCTTGGAAGTTTACTTAATCCATACAAGCTCCGTTATATATATATATACAATACATATATATATGTATCCAAGCTTACATCGACAGCAATCAATATACTGATTGTGAAGATTTTTGTGCCTTTAGTTGAACGGAGACGCGCTAGTCTAAACGATGTTCGAGCTTTTCCAACTTACTGAGCGGGGGGTGAAAGGCAATCAGATGTTTCTATTAATTTGGCAAAGCACTAAGGAACGGTTTTGATGGGATACAATCAAAATAATACTAAAATTGACACTCAGAAAAATGTCCAAATTTAGAAAAAATGACTCATAAAATAATCCATTGATATGAAAAATTGGAATAAACATTGTTAAACATAATTTTGAATCTTTAATTTAAATCATTAAATATAGGATTTTCAACTTGAAGATATTTGGAAATGCCATTAAAATAGACATTGATTGCTTATCAGAAAAAGATAAGAATTTCTTGACAAAAAAGTCATTCAATTAAAGTTTTGAATTAATAGAGAAACATTAATGTACAATCATGGAAATTAATTAAATTTATTAATAATTAAAATAAAAAAAAATTTACAATTAAGAGTAATATAGATGATTAATTATTTATTGCCTTTTCCAATGTTGTTGGTTGGTGATGTTAATCGTGGAATTGTTGTAGATGATGTAATACCGGATCCGTTAGTATTAGCGATATTACTGTTATTAGTACCCTTATCACTTATTGGCAACCGGGACCCACTACTAGGCTTTGCAATGTTTGACCCTCCCAACAGTGAAGTTTTTTTACTCAAAGATGATATTGTAGGTATAGCTGATTTTGAAGCAGCTGGGGTATTTGTTGATTTTGGTTTTTTTATTAAAGAGAAACCATTACCCGATCCTGCTGGTTTCCACGGTGGATTGATAAATTGTGGTGGCTGATAACCTTGTCGACGATTACTATCTCCATCTAACATAAGAGCAGTTTGCATCTCTTCTGTTAATTGACGAACTATAGCATTCTCCATCAAATCTTTTCTTTGATTTATCAACTTTTAAAATAAAAATTTATTTTTAAAAAGTTTCAATATTAATTATTACTTGATACTTTTTATAATAGATGAGTATAAATATAAAGTACCTGTAATCCACTGAGAGCTTTATTAATCATAACATCACGTTTTCCAATCTGATCATGCAAACGTTTTTGTTCCTCCACTATAGCATCAAACTAATAATAATATTAGGGAGTGAATAATTAAAATTAAAAATTTTAATAAAACCATGACTTCAAACAATCAAGCAAAGTATTATTAAATAAAATACCTGTTCTTCATATTTTTTAATTCTTTGTCGCTCACTTTCAATAGTTTTATTTTTTTCTTCCATTTGTTCTCTGAGTTGTTCGTTAAGCATTGCAAAAGTGCTCTCTGCTTTTGCTGCAATGGCTTTAGATTCATTGGTTGCCTTTAAAAAAATTTGAAATAATATTTAATAATAATTCTGAAATTTTTTTTTGAATGTATAAATGAAGAACACACCTCCATTGAAGCTTTTTGTATAGAGTTCAATTCTTGTAATTGGTTATTTCTACGAATTTGAGCTTGTAATTGTGTTTCAATATCTCTGTATATAATTATAATTATCTATTATTAACTGATTGTTATATTATAATAATAATTTTAAATTTCCAAGTGTAAACATACTTCAAAGTTTCATTTAATGAATCAATTCTCTCCTTTGAAGTTTGCGCTTCATTTTTGAATCGTTCTACGGATTGCATATCCTTGAACTCCAAATCTTTAAGTTTCATTTCCCATTTTCTTTCATCATCTTTGAATTTGGATTCAATGATTCTGATTTGCCGTTCGCCTTCCTTGAGCTTATTTTCAAGTTCATTAGCATGTAATTTTACATTTCTTAATTCTTCAAGTTGTTGACGTAGACTTGACATTTGATCATTAAGTTCTTCGTTTGTACTCTGAATTAAATAATAAGAATAATATCAAGGATAAATATGTGCATTGACATTATATTGACATTGAGATTGACATTTCAAAGAAAAAAACCTTTGTTATTTCAAGTTCATTTTGGGCTTTCCTGGCTTGTTCTTTCCAATGTTCTTGATTGCTTGCAATCTTGTTGATAGCATTTTCAAGTTTAGCTATATGGCTTATTTTAAGGTCCATTTGATTTTTAAGGGATCTAGACAATACATTTATAAGAATTGCGAATGAATTGAAGGTTTTCAATTATTAGAGTAAAATTGATTATAACAGATAAATATACTTACTCGTATTGTTCTTGCCACCGTATAACAATTTCTTTAACACGACTATCAAAATTATTATAAGCGGCACTAATTGTTTTTAGTTTAGATAAAAGTTGCTCATGGAAAAGTTTAAAGTTGGTTGATGGTTTAGGATAATTGGACTTTAAAAAAAAATAACATTGTTAAATTAAATACATTTTCTGATAATAATGACGACGATGATGGTGATGATTATAAGTTAACTAACTTGTTTATTACTTCCATCTGACATTAAAGCATCCAAATATTGATATGCTGTCATCAACAATGTATTACGTTCAATAATTTGATCCCGATGCTGGGTCTCATTGGAATAAGTAACCTGATAATAACAATAATGGTAATGATGATAATAAGTAATTAAATATATGATAATATTATCAATTAATTGTATCGTATTTTAAGATTACTTTTTTCTCCTGTGATAAATTGTTTTCTAGATTTGCTACTTGGGATCTTAATTCATCGATAGTAGAATCTTTATCACGAGTATCCTATACCATATAATATATAGTTATTTGAAATAGAAGAACAAATAGATTTTTATTATTATTATTAGTTTTCCAACTTGTATGATAAAAGTCACACACACATATTATATATACCATTTGAAGATTTCTAAATTGTTCTTCGGCTTTTATTCGGGCATTTTCACTTGATAAAAATTTTTCGTTCAACTTATTCTTCATATTGTTCTATTTTGCATAATTGTAATAATAACAACATATGATAGTCAGTAAATCACAATTCTTTTATTATGAATGCTTGCTCAAGTTATTATTATTAAATCAATCATTCATCCATTCGTATACACATGTATATATATATGTACCAAATGTTTAACTTCATTTTCATATTCGATAATAGTATTTTTCTTATTTTCCAATTCATCACCAAGATTTTCCAATTGAGTACTTAATTGTTCTGATTCTTGACGTGCTATATCCAATTCCTAAAAACATAATAATCAATTATAATCATTATAAAGAAATAGATCAATTTATTATTAAAAAAAAAAAATAAAAAAAAGAGAAAAACATACAGATCGGAGCCGTTCTTGTTCCTTCAAATAACGTTCAGTTGTATCTTTTGTTCGACTACTTTGTTTGTTAAGCTGCTGCCTAACAAATTGTAAATCGGCATCACGTTCTTCTATATTCATATTAAGATCTAAAATTTGCTGTTGTGCTACTGTTAATTTCTATGGAAGGTTTAAATTGAATAAAAGAAAAATATAAAGACATCAAAGTCAATTACAAAATATTAAAACTTCACGTCTATATATATATATATAATAAATAAATGCAAATTGAACCTCATTCAATTCATTAATCTTTTGCTCTTCTTGTTTCTCGATTTCTTTCTTTTCTTTACGTAATTTTTCCAACTCTTTTTCATGATTTTCTTTTTCATGATTTTTTTCAACAATCAATTCATTTTCTCGTGATTCAGCTATATTGCGATGCTCAATTTCATAATCCAAACTTTGCTTCAATTCTTCTATTTGAGCTGTATAATTTTCTATTTCTTGACGTAAAAGATTTATTTGTTTACTAGTTGACTCTTTGGTTGAAGTCAGCTCAGTAATTTTAGCTTTATTTGATGAAAGTTTCTGCAAATCCAAATCAATAGCATTTCAGAAATCATTAAAAATATAATAGTCATCAGGAGAATAAAAAATAAAATTTTCTCACTTTTTTTAAATCAGAAATAACTTCTTCTTGTAATTTTTGTTCAGATTCTGCATCCTTAGATTTAGATTCCAATTGATTTTGTAAATCAACAATCTCCTCGTCCTTTTTTATGATTAATGATTCTAAATTGCTAATTTGAAATTTCGACTAGAATATATTTTATTTATATATTTTAAAAAAAAAATTTTAAAAATTATAAATTATTACAATCATAGAATCAAACCTTATCAAAAGATTCTCGTAATTCTTGTAATTCTTTGGATTTATTTTCCAATTCATATAGATTCTTATTTAAAACAAATATGCATTAATTATATTTTGATAACAACGGTGCGATAGATAATAATAATCTATTAATACCTTTTCAAGTAATTGATGTAATTCTCCTATTTCATGTTTATTATCTTCCAGTTGAGATGTCAATTCATCTATTATTTCTTTATGATGTATATCTTGAGTATGATTACCATGATGTATTAAATCAAGTTCTTGTAATACTTGTTCATGTTCCGTATGTAACATTTCAAGCTCCTTTGTAATATGTAAACATATAAATATATTAGATATTAATATTATCTACATCAAAAAAGAAATATATTAAAGATATTTTTGGGAGATTTGATATTACATCTCTTAGAATAGCATTTTCTTTTTCTATCCTCATCATTTCTTCAGCAATATCTTGGACAGTATTTGAATGTATCATATTGCCATCTTCCAATTCAATTGCCAATTGTTCCACCTCTGTACCTTTTTCATGAAGTTGTAACGTTAGTTCCGCAACTTTATCTCTCAAGTTTCCCAGACTCTATTGATTTATTACATATATTAATTAACTTTTTAATTAAAAGAACAAAAATTTCCAGAGTTATTATTTATTTATCTTTTCTCGCACTCACATCTTCATATTGTTCACTAAAATCACCATTTAAAGGAATGTCACCATGTGGTGATGCTGTATTTACAGAGAGACTTTTTATTGATTCCAATTCATTTGATAAATTTTCACTTTCCTTTTCTTTTGCATAAAGTTGTGTTTTAAGAATTGAAATTTGCTATATAATAAAAATTATATTTGATTGCATACTTTCTTAATAGACTTGTAAAATTCACACATATAAATATATAATATATATATGATGATGGTGATGATGATGATGACGATGACGATGACGATGACGATTTATATATTACACATACCCCTTTTAATTCTTGTATAAATATAGCTTGTTTTTCAGCTTTATCTGTAGATTCTTTAAGTCTTATTATTGTAATGTCACGATCATCATCCAAAATATCATCATTGTGTTGTGAACCATCAGAATTTTGTTCCATTATGTGATTATTTTGATCAACTAATTGTTTCCTGAGTGCTTCAACTTCCTTTTCTGATTCCGAATATAATTTTTTATAACGTGAAAATTCTAATTTTAATTCATGATTTTGAAGTTTGATCTCTAAATTCTATGGAAAAATTATTCATTAAAAATGATAAAAAATAACATTTCAAACATATATATATGTGTTGAATCAAACGATGATGATGATAATATTTGCCCAACCTCTTTTAACGCATTTTCCATTTCCTCAGGTGCCATGTTATTTTTATTTTGTCTTTCCTCCAAGTAATATATTTTCATTTTTAAACCAAAGTTTTCTTTTTTAATCTCATCAATCACCTGAAGAAATAAAGAAAGAAATAAAAATTTTGTGCAAAAACGAATTGTGATTTATTCAGAGTGAACACATTATCAAGAACAACAGCGAAGCAAGAGAGATTTGGTAGAATGTTTCTTACCCTTTCTTGTTCTTTTAAAGTCATTTGAGTAGTTCTTGAAGGTGCACCGGAACTCCATCTTGGGTTATTCATTTTTTTTGAAAATTATAGAATTATTGTTATATTTTATTGTATTAATTATTATTTATTGAAATTTTGTCTTTTATTATTTTAAAAAAATGTATTAAAATTTAAAATTTTTAAATGCAAACAATTATAAACCAATAAAAAAAAAAGTAAATGATCAACGAAATTTGTTTATATCCCTTTTTATCGATTTTAGAACATTCAACTATTCGTAAAAAAAAAAAGCCATTTAATATTAATGATACCGATCCATTGGATAATGTAACATTTTAACCTTTTACGGACCAAATAAAAATAACCTCCATAATCTAATAGACAAAATCTTCCAAGTGCAGAATTATTATGACGATTGGACCATTGAAAAACGCCCAATTATACAGTAAAGTTGTTTGAAATTAAGATTTCCTAAATATTTATTCAGTTAACCCGGTAGGAAGAGCGCTATGATCCCAATGTTGATTATCATTACAACCAATCGGCATCTTCAACCACGGATATGAAATCGTCAAACCATTTGTAATGAACTTTTATGAAAATTTAAATTACCCTTTGAATGACAAAAGAAGTTTAATAATCGCATGTGAAACTCTTGACATATATATTCAAATCACTTCGACAAGCATTTAACAAAGCCAACCCTGAAAGTACGTGTGATCTCAACAAAGCCACATGGAACATATAAGCAGTCCTGGTTCTTTGGTTTGTATTACGTTGAATAAGTTTCCTTGGCATTCTTGTTCGATGCTTCGTCAGAAGATTTTTATATATAATAAATTTAATACTATAATCTTCTTTTGATGAAATTACATATAATATATGCTTTATTAAAATTTAATTCTTTGATTGGGGGCTCTCCAAAGATAGTCGCACTGACATATCTAAAGAGTATGTATATATTTTAAGTCCTTATTCTTGATTACAGTCCATAGATGAAAAATGAATACTATTTGCTATTTAAGTTACGTATTAAATTGCGGTGGAAATCAGCTAGAAATAATTTAAAAAAAACTTTGAATTTATTACTATTACTAGTATAGTATATGAAAAACAACTGTTGCCGAGGTGATTTGACGTTACCTCTCATTCAATTATTCTTGTATGAATCAACAACTAGATTTTTATTTAACATTTTATTGGTAACAATATTATTAAGTGAAAAGGAACTTTCATATGATATTAATATATTTTGTAATTCTTTTTTAATATTCTACAGTTATATATATATCTTAAAAATACACGTTAATATACAGTTTAATTCGGGTGCCATTTTTTGGGGGAAATCTCTGTATCACTCGTTTAAATTATAATTAAATTACTGGAAAATCTTTGAACCCGCAAACTATATTATAAATAGGTCAGTAACAAAAGTCACGCTTGGTATAGGGCTTGGTTACTCTTGTGGCTCAATTTGTCAATTACAGAATCAATCTTATCAATTTTCTATTAGTTTCGAAGAAATCCAATTCAAAAAAGATTTTTGTCTTGTTTTGCCCCATAAAAGAAGAATGATTATGTTCTAGTCATGATTACTTTTTGACATCAGCAAAACGATTCTAGTATTATTAAATAATTATAATAATTATAAGAAATGTCAACTTACATAACTGGAAAACTGCCTTAGACACTAAAAAAACAATCCAATATGTAATATTTGATTCAGAGCTCAAATAATTGAAAATTACAATTGTTCTCATCTTCCTTGCAAGCAGAGGCTAATCGACCTCATCCCCCGATGTAATCGTTGCTCATGTCTTCGGAATCCATTAGAATTACATTGTTGTAGAAAAAGCCTCCCAACATACTCGAATTCCTTCGCCTGCGGAACAATTCTATGCAAGGCAATTGCATGTTTACAGAAGAAAAATCCGACACCTATGGTCAATACCAGATTTATTCATTCCATCCTTTTGGGTGTGATTTATTTTTAAGGAACTCTACAACTTGTAGCTCTATACAATTGGGAATATTTCCACTGTGATAAGGCAATGGAACCATTTTTTACATGGAAAGGACAAAAATATCAAGGGTTTAATTTCCAACTCTATCAACTCTTCTCATTAGGACATTATTGACTTTTTTCAAAATTTCCAAAGTTATGGACATTATTATATTAGACAAGATACAATATCAAGGAAACGATTTAAGAGAAAATACATAATGATTTTAATTATATTAAAAAAACCACTATGGTTGGCTCGGTCTAAAGACCTCATATTGCTGCGCCATGCGGCCAAATTTCAAAATAGCAATTTTGTAATTCGTTCAAAAATAGGACTTCACGTGATTTTAGTTTTCTTACTGCCAAATTTAGATACGATGGTCAAAATCTAGTCTAAATTTGGTAATATTATTCCTAAATTTAGAAATGATCATAGTGGACAAATTCCTCGTGAGCATAGTAAAGTACATGTTTTAAAAAAGAATAGAACTCTACAACAAATAATTTTTTTGAAAAAATCTCTCTATTAAATTAAAACTAAAGACATATTCTATCAACTAATAGAGCTATTTTTTTAAAATGTAGGACAGAAAGTGACTTCTATACTTTTAAAATTTGCCTAAAATTTAGGAGGTCTTTTGACCAAGCCAACTATAGAGCAATTGCGTTGATAGGTATTACCTATTCTTTTGTATTAATAATCTTATTACTATTGCCAATACTAGTATCTTCTTCCTCCATTTTTTTTCTTTTAGGATTCATTTTTTATTGATAAAAGTTTTTTGCAGCAGAAGCAGCAATTCTCTTCCCTTATCCGCCACATAACTCGCGGATGAAAAATTACTTGTTTTATGTTTTTTCTAGATCAATCATCTTGCCAATATTTTGGTTGATAATATGGTAAAAAGTCAAAGAATTGTGAAGGCAAGCATTTTTGCAAAATATTTGTGGTTTTTAGTTTTGATTTGCAATTATGGCTATGATTATTGTTAGTAAAAAATTTTCTTTCCTATTACTATTATTATTTTGCTATTTTGCTATTATTTTTATTTTGGAATTGATGATTGAGGAAGTGTTAAACGCGAAGGAATTTTCTTGCCCCTATATTAATTCCCTGTGACGCAGGTTTTCAAGTTGACATTTAACTTTGTCCATTGAAAAATTTATCATTGTCTACGTAATACACAAATAAAAATCAGGGTCTCTGCGCCCGAACCAACAGAGAGTCGCTTGTTTGTCTATTATTGCGATCACGGCCATCAACCCGTGGTGAGTTGGGTGGGAACTAACTTGTCAAGTAACTTTCTCTTAACAGCGAAAAAAGTTTAAGGAAAAAGTAAAGGTCATTTTCTGTCCCATCTTTGAAAAATAGCAACTCGAACTTTATTGGTTGTTGAGTCCCATTCCTTTTTAGTAGAATGTTCACGAGGGATTTGCCGCGAAAAATATTGACTAAATTTAGTATAAAAATTATTACGTCAAAAATATTTTTAATTGTGTTATTTATTGTTATTATTACTAATGAATTTAATTGTATCAATTGTATCAAAAATCTCCAGATAATTTTATTTTAAATAAATATATATTAATATTATATTATAAATGTGTGTTCAAGAGGTTCCCACATTCATGTATGCATATTCCCAGATTATCAAGTAACACAACTAATTACTTAATAACGAAATGGGGATGGTCGTTCACAAAAATAATCATTATAATAATAATAATTCAAAATGGTGGTGTTATTCCACAAATATCACGGATAATAACATAAATGGACGAAATAATTTAAACAATAGGGTTCATTTTATTAAGGAAAATACTTGGTGGAAAGTTTTGAATTTTCTACTTTAAAGACCTTGTTCTTACTAGTTTATATTAATAATATCCCGTTTGAAATTTCCCACCTTTGTTGATAAATGACGTGTAACCTAAATGAAATTTCGAAATATAACAAATTCTGATGAAAGATTACACCATCATTTTCACATTTTTCAAATATAAAACTCGTTATTTTTACTTTTACTATATTTTTTAAAAAAAAATTTTTTTAAAAATAAAAAAAAGAAAAAGTTCTAAAAAAAAAAAAAAAATGAATTCACAATTCACCAATTTCATTTTAACTGACGAAAATAATCACGATAACTTAAATATAGAACAAATGGATTATAATTCAACTATAGAACAAATGGATTATAATTTAAATATACATAATAATTCAGTACCAACAAGAATGTATGTTAATAATAACAGCCCTTCATGCAAAGAATTATTAATGGTAATTACTATCAATGTTATTTTCTATACAAATATAAATACATTATATAATATTAATTTTAAATATATAAAATATAGAAAGTTGATAGGTTACCACCTTTTGAAAGTTTAATGATTAAAAACTTCTGGTCTGAATTTTCCTGCATCTCTTCAAGAAATCAAGATATCCTCTTAGAAGGATTATTGCACATGTGTCGCTTTCCACAGCTATCTATTCTTTCAGATAAGATAAAAAAATTAAATCGGATAGATTTCTTCAAGGATCTTCCACAAGAAGTTTCACTTCAGATCCTATCCTATTTGGACGCAATCTCTTTATGTAAGGCAGCTCAGGTATCGAAAAAATGGCAAGAGTTGGCAGATGATAATGCTGTATGGAAAAGAATATGTATGCAGCATATTGATAAAAAATGTAACAAGTGTGGTTGGGGTCTTCCTTTACTGGAAAATCAACGTAAATAATATTAATAAAGTTTTATTTTTTTTATCCCTCTGATCTACATGATTTTCTTTACATAATAACAAATACATATTATCCATTATTAGATGAATCAAATAATGAACGCGAATACGACAACAATAACAGGACGATAATATGGAAGCAAATATACTCTAGGCGCCTTGTCATCGAACGTAATTGGAGAAAAGGTCGTTATAGTGTTAAAGTATTAGAAGGTCATAGTGACGGTATAACATGTCTTCAATTAAAAAAAGACATTTTAATAACCGGATCATACGACGCCACAGTCCGAATATGGAGTATTGAAACCGGCGAGACATTGAGCGTGCTAAGTGGACATACGAGTTCTGTAAAGGCTTTGCAATTTGATGATTCGATGCTAGCCACAGCTTCACTCGACTGTACCATAAAACTATGGAACTACAAGAAGGGCACTTGTATTAGAACACTGCGTGGCCACACTGACAGTGTAATTTCTTTGCATTTTATTAAAGGTGTTTTGGCAAGCGGGTCTGCTGATAAAACTATAAAAGTATGGAATTCCTCCTCGGGTCAACACTACACTTTAATTGGTCATACAGATTGTGTGAACCGTGTCATCATATATAAAGAGACCCAAATTCTATCATCATCTGATGATGGTACTATCCGTGCGTGGGATATGTTGACGGAATCCTGTCTGCGGGTATTTGAAGGACATGTCGGGCAAGTTTCATGCATGGAGTTTGCATCACTGTCAGTCTTTTCACATATTCTATCTTCAATGAAACAGGATAATAATAATAATAGATGTAATAATAACAACAACAACAACAACAACAACAATTATAATAATGATATTAATAATAATAGTATTGGTGATGATTTACCTATAATTGTGTCAGGATCATTAGATAACACTTTAAAGGTATGGTGTGCACAGTCCGGTAAATGCTGTAGTACTCTATTCGGTCATGTTGAAGGAATATGGGCCCTAGCTTTAAATAGTTTGCGAATGGTGACTGGATCCCAAGATAAAACTGTCAAGATCTGGGATAAAAACACGGGAGTTTGTTTACACACTTTAAAAGGTCATGAAGACTCTGTGACATGTATAGCGTTAAGCGACACAAAAGTTGTGACTGGTAGTGATGACAAGACAATTAGAATTTGGGATTTCAATGTTTAGAAGCAATTTTTTTTATTTTTGTATTAATATTTTTTAGATGGATTATAAAGTACTCACACGTATACGTACGGTATATTTTTAAATAAATAAATAGATTTAATTTATTGTAAATAAATTATGTGTACATTAATATAATTATACAATAATATAAATTTACTCTCATCAATCAATAAATCAATCAATAATATATAAATAATATATATAATTTTTCCACTTATCTATTAATAATTAATTCTAGATTCTAATGAGATGACGATGCACTTTGAGTACGTGCACCATTTACTGCAGCAAGTTTTTGTTGATGTGCAGAAGCCATCACTGGTTTCCTTACTGATCTAATTTCATCAGAAGCAAATCCTGGAATACGTATATTCCAATTTCGTTCTAACCGTCATTGAAGGCAAAAATAAAAAAAAAGCCAATTATAAATAAACATTTTTTTCAATTGAGAGTAAATTATTGACGATGACGATTATGATACCTAGATGAAGTTGAAGATCTTTAACTTCTAATGTATCAGATTTTCTATGTTTAGCCAATCGACAAGCAAATGTAGCAACTGTCGTTATAAACTCATCAGCAATATCCAAAAGCATCTAAAAAATTTTTTTTATTAATTATCATCACCATCGTTATTATTATTACCAAATAATATAATATGTATATATATATATATATATATAGTAACGAATAAATAAACTTACATCTTCTACCTCTGGTTCTAATCTCTCTCTTGGATCAATTTGTTCCACCAATTCTTGTATTTTACGTTTTGCAACAATAGGTCTATTATTATCAATATTACCTGAACCTGGAATTTGTAATTGTGAAGAAGGAAAATTTCCCGGTGGTAAATTTGAAGTTACATATGTATTATTAGATGATATGATTGGTTCTTTTCCTGGCATTGGAGTTAATTTATTTGTTATTATTCCTTGTAATGATGCTGTTGATGAAAAAATTGGTCTGATATTGGTTGTTGTTGATGACGATGACGATGATATAGGCGACATTGATATATTATCTGTAGTAGTAGTAGTATTAGTAATGTTAATAATATTAGCATTAATGGTTTTTATTATTTGTGATTTTTCACAATATTATCATTAACATTCATCATCATTGATGTTGAATTTATAATTAAACATTGTTAAAATATGAGAACCTTGTAGTGTGTACGGTATATATGGTGATTGGATTGGTGTTAGAGGTGATTGTGAAGAATTGGATGATTGAATTGATAAAAATTGTTGTTGTTGGATTAACATTTGCTGTTGTTGTAAATTTAACATAGTGTTATTTGTTAACATTGAAGATTGTTGCAATTGTTGTTGTTGTTGTTGAGGAAGAATCATTGAATTAATTTGTCCAAAATTATTATTATCTAATTCAAAGATTTTTTTTTTGTTATTTCGCCTTTTTAAGAATTTAATTAATAAATATTAATATCATCATCTTCACCTTCACCTAACCTGATTGTGATGACATTATTTGTGATGATGAAGTATTTTGCATTGGGGCTGAAAGAATTAATAGACATGAGCAATGAAGTTGTAAAATAATAAAAACCAATGTTTTACACTAATGAATACACATGTATATATATAAAATATTAACCTGTTATTGACGATCTTAGTAAATTAGTGTTATAATAGTTTAATTTTGTTTCTTTTTCTTGTTTTATTTGAGGATTTAAATTAGGATTTTTCAAGGCCTCTTGTAAATTATGAACATCCTGATTTATATTTTGCATATTTTATTAAATAAATTCAAATAGTTGATTTTGAGATCTTCGAGATTGAAGTAACCGGATTTTGTAATTTTTAGTTACTTGCTGTTCAACAGCAATGAATGTTGTAATATATTATATAAAAAATTGAAACATGATTTTTTTAATTTTGAATGAATGAGTAAATTTTATGCATATTTGTTTACATTCATTTATCACTAGTTTTGTCACATTTTTTATTCGCCATAAATTAACTTTAATAGTTACCAATTATCTCCATAATTATTTGAACTCTTTAAGTCAATTAGCATATAGTTATTTTATGTTCATTCATATAAAGAATATCGAGAAACCGTAATTATTGTCATAATCACTTTTCCTCCCAAAACAATTATGGCAAGCAACTATTAGTAAACAGTATATACTAAATACTAGTAGATAAGGCAAGTCAAGTCCTACAGATTATCTGTGCATAAACACCAACATCGCTAAGCAACTCTTGCTGTGTTTTCCATAATATGTATATTACAGGCTTCGTTTATATCTTTCTCTATCAGAGGATAGTACATCTAAAGGTCTAGCTAGCTTCGGAACACCCACGCGTTCTGGTGCAGATGGTCGACCACCTTGAATCATGGATACTCGAAGCAAATTAAAATGTTATTTAAGACCGAAAAGAGATTGAAAAAATTCTCTTTGTGATTCAATATATTTTTTTATTAAAAAAATCAATTTGAAAGTTTATTCACTATCACATGGCACGTGATAATAATGATGTGGTTTAAAGAAAGCAATAATAATAAAATCGAGAATTAGAATCAACTATCATGAATTAAAAAAACTAAACCAATAGATGATGTACTTTTCAGAAGTTTTAATGTAAAAATTAACGAAAAATAAAAAAAGGGTGCAAGCACAAAATTTATTCTGACATGCTATCTTTAAACCTTCTAGTTGATGATGCATATAAAGCTTTTATTTATATATATAATGATACATCTGGAAATAAAAAAAACAATTACAGGATTTTGTATTTTTGTAGTTTTAATTAGGTAATTCATCTAATTCAATCCGTTGAGAATATAACCATAAGAATGAACATTAATGTATTGATAAAAATCATGACGATCTCAGCAATCAATTTCATGCAGTCCAAGAATATTTGTCTGCACACGAAATTTGGGATTTAATTTCTTGATAAATATGTTGAAAGCTTCACTCTGAAGCGTATTAGAGGTAAATAATCTAGTACAATCCATTCAGTGCTGGAAAGATGCAAGTTTTTTACTTTTTGTTGTGGATGTTGAACTTTTTCAACATCTGCTAATTTTGGTTGTTTTAAATCAGTATCATTAAAATTTACAAGCCTGTGAATTCCAATAAGGTAACAATTATTGGTAAAAATAAAGGTAATTATTAACATTGATCATTAATTAGTTTTTAATTTTTAAAATATATAAAATTTATTCATATCCACTCTTGTGATGAATATTCTCAAGAGATTGAATTAGCTATACCAGATATCTAGAATATGACATTGCATTTCTATTTTTGAGACAATCTAAATATAATAATAGTATTTCTGTATTTTTATGGTTAACATAAGTAGACAAAAATGAGACAAAATATGATGATTTTACATGGCAATAAAAAGTAAATTATGCACCAAAAAAAATACATAAATTATATAGTTGTATAAAAAATTTATTTAATTATATTTAATTTTTCTGAACCTATTTTTTACAATGATCCAATTAAAATTTTATACAATCTTTAAAGATTTATTTTAATGTCTTTTTTTATCTGAATTTTTCTTCCATTAAGCAAGCAACATATTGTATAACTCTGTTAATTCAATCACTGAATTTTACTGATTCATCTTTTTTTTTGGCTACATATGGTTGTTTCTAAACTTGTTGAATAGACAACCAGGAACAATAAAATAAAGTTATGCTTTATGATCTGATGATGTTTGGAATTTCCCCAAAAGTTGCTTGAATCCTGCTTGAAGAATTGGATGTTTTTTTGATGCAGTGATTTGAAAAAAATACTTGGGGCTATTACTGCACTGCATCAACTGATTTCAAGTTTTTGCTAATTAGATGACAATACACCTCATTTTCAATTTCATCAATTGTTTTGAAGTTAATTGCCCAAATGAAATAATTTCATCAGATGCTTCCACTTTTTCTCCATTTCAAGACATTGAATCTTAACTGAACAATTTTTGGGAATCATTTTGAATCCAACAAGTGTCCTCTTAATACACCATCAATGTCAATGGGATACAATGGTGAGTGTTGAATAAACTGCCATAATAAGGAATGATGTTGCCCTTTAGCACTTCATCATCAACATATTTTGATGCAAAGTATAAGGTTGATTGTGTATGAGGTGGTATCTGTGTATAAAGTTTTTAATTGGTGATACACTCTAAATCAATGTCAGAAAGCTCTTCATTGGCATTAAAAGGAAGGTTAGTATGAATGTGAACCAACCAGTAACTGAATTTGTCACCTTCACTCAGACTTCCAATGTAATGTAGAATGGTATAAAAGCGTAGGAAAATATCCACACATATTAGTGATATTTGAAGGTATTAGGACCACACTCCATGAAAATGCGTAAAAGGTTCAAATTACATATAGAGCATATAACATTAATTCTTCCAGAACTTTCTTATTGATATGGATCTTTACATTGGCTTTTATTTGACTATGTATGTATGTTTACTTTATTTAGTGTATTATTGAAAATTTATTATTTAAACATTTGTATATTTTATGGAAGGTTCGTTATAGAGAGAGTGAACTGTAGCAAGCGAGAAACTATTAATAAGAATCCATCTACTTTTTATTTGTGTTTACTAAGATTATGAGAAATTAATTATTATTATATAAAAAAGTGAAGTTTGTTATATATAGAGATTTACTTAGTGTTCATTATAGCTGTATATACAAATATGCATATTTTATTTCTTCAATAAGTATTATATTAATATAAAGCTTTACTATTATGTATCAAAGGATATGTAAGATCACAAAATTTAAATAAATAAATTCGAATACATATGTTTGTACATCATGCAAAAAAGAAAAAACTCTTTAATTTAAAGTTATATTCAAACGAATTTTATTATGTATGTAACACGAAGATCTTCTACTAAAATGTAGTGTTTGTATTCATGATATTCGAATATCATAAAACGATCGACATGATATCCGAATATCATGAATATTATCCGAATATCATGAATATCATGAATATCATGAATATCATACCATATTGTGTAACTAAGACAATAAAAATTTATTAATAATTAATAATATATAGTCGTAATCAACCAATTCTGAAATAATGTGCAAGGATTTAAAAGAAAGATGCCTGACGGTTTAAGAGAGAAGATTTACACAGGTCTATTTGTCAATATTGGTTATTTATTTTATTAATATAATATGATATTTAAATAAAATGAATAAAGAAATAAAAATACATATTAATATTGAAAATTTTTGATATCAAAAAAAGAAAAAACCAAACGTATTAAACAGATGATAATATATTGATTTCTTGTGAATTTCGTTTTAAGAATATAAGTTTAGAAACAAAGCCAGGTGAGAGTCTATTTCTATGGGGTGTTATATGATTTCCAACATCAGAAAACAAACGTTCTGAAGGAACTGATGTTGCACTCATACAAAGATATTTTCTTGCCAATTTTGACATTATAGGCAATTCATTTTTTCTTTCATTCCACCATAGAAAAGGGTCAACGGATCTTGATGCCACCGGCAAGTTAAAATATTTTTCAAATTCACCTTGTTCTGGCTCTTGCAGATTATCAAATAAATCATCAAAAACATTACTTTGTCCACCAAAACTAGTTCTTAATGGTAATCTTACACTTCTTGACTGAATGGAGCTGCTAATTTGTCGTTCTTCCTCTTGTTGTTGTTGTATTAATAGATTATACTCATCTTTTAACGAATTTTTGATTTCCTCACGTTCTCTATCACTTAAAAATTTTAGTGCCTTAAAACGTGGGTCTAAAGTTGATGCAAAAGCAGCTAGGGATGAAGGAGTTGACCAATAATTATTTAACGAATTATACATAGTTGAGATAACCTTTTCAAATAATCCTCTTGTTTCAACAGGTACTGATATATTAATTTTTTTTCTTCTTCTTTCCCCGTTATCTTCTTCTAATAACTCTATTTCATCTTCTTCCATTTCTAGTAGTATAGCTTCTTCACCACTTTCTTCTAAAAGTTCGCTGCTATCTATTGGTTCAATATTTTCATTTTCAAATTCATCATCATAATTTTCATCATTCATATAATATGTCATTAATTCTAAGAATCTTTTCTTTAGGAAAGATATCAATGGCACAACTAAAGATAATGTTACGAAATCTCTACCACTGAGTGTTGTGGTTACTAAGTCAATTTGTTTAAGTATTTCAATAAGTTCTTTAATTAATTCCCATTCACTTTCTGTTAATAACGATTTTTGTAACTTTCTCCCACTTTTTCTAGTTTCGGGATCATTATCCAGTACCATATGACTTTGTAAGATGATGATTGCTTTTTTGAGAGCCAATAATCTCACCCACGAATTATAGGTACTATTCCAACGTGTGGCTACATCATGTATTGGTTTTAGATTCGTTGGATAATCCTCTCTTAATCTTTCTTGCACATTGAGCAGTGCCTCCAACTGTTTTGGAGAGTTGAAAAATAAGACAAGTTTTCTTGCCCTTAAAACTAATGCTTTAATGTTATCATCACAGTTAAGTGCTTTTTTAACACAAAGTTGTAGTGTATGAGCTGCACAAGAAATTCTCTCAATATTTAATGAATTTTTTAATAATCTAGATCCCGAAACCATATTACTACCATTATCAGTAGTAATAGCTGTAATTTTCCCCTCTAAATTCCACTTTAATATTTCTTCCTCTATTAGATTTTTTATAACCAAGCTTGTATGTGGATGGGGAACATGAAACAAGTTTAAGAGAGTTTCAA